CAATTTTAACCCCACTGCGAAGCCTCTTCTAAGGATGCCTAGCCTGAAGAAGTTACCCTCCTCCCTCCCGACAAACCTCAGGGGAACTCTCTCCCACTGCCCTATTTATTTCAGAACCCCCTTCCCCTCCCCCATTTCTGAAGAAGGGTCTAGGCCCAAAACGTCAGCTTTCCTGCTCCTCTGATGCTGCTTGGCCTGCTGTGTTCATCCAGCTCTACACCTTGTTATCTCAAACCCCAAACCTGCACATTTCCAGGGGAACAGTTCGAAGTCTGCAAAATAATGCGGGTGAATGATTTGCTTTTGCTAGATCGCGGAGGGATGAAATACGATTTACTGTAGCTCAGTACGTTAGTTGCGGTTCTGAGGAAGGATGCCTGGACCCGAAACGTTAACTCTGATTTCTCTCCACAAATGCTGCCAGACCTGCTGAGCTTTTTCAGCAACTAGTGTTTTTTTTTGCTTCTGATTTACAGCCTCTGCAGTACTTTCGGTTTTTACTACAAAGCCAGGCTGTCTTCAATAATAAAAACAGAAATCGCTGGAGAAACTCAGCGGGTCTGGCAGCATCTGTAGAGAAAGAGAGAGTTAACGTTTTAAGTCCGAAATGGCTTCTTCTGAACTGAAATCGATTTATCCGGTTTGGTTTCTGTATTTATTTACGAAACAGTGGTTGAGTATTCAGTATGTACTGGGGCTGATTGTGGTTTAATAAAATCTTGGTGTGGTTGAGGCCGCCCTGTCCAGTTTTACAGGTGGAACTGTCTTGGTATAACCTCCATTTCTCCCGGGTTTGCTCCACTTCACTCCGTGTTCTTGTCGGTGAGGATTGCTGGGAGGGGAAAGGGGTTCCTGAATGGGTCCCTTCCACCGATTCCCCAAAGCAAGGCTCTGTTTGCAATTGGCAGCTGGGCGGGGTGATGGTGATGGAGTGAACCTGAACTTTCGCCTCCTCTCTGGCTGCAGTTTGTTTTTCTCGGGTCAATGATTAATCCCTTGTCGCTGCCATTTTCCTTCTCAGTAGCAGAGACTGAGACTCTCGGAGTCAGAACGAGCCACACACACACACAGAGAGAGGTGTAAACATCTTCAGGTGGCCAGTAAAGTCTTCGATCTTGGCTACAGCGGAGTGCATCTCAGGGGGATCAACCTCTTTCCCCCCTTCAGTGGGATAAAAGGACAGCAGTGGATGCTTTCAGACCCCCCTCTACGCCCCCTCCAGAGTGATACTGGCTCAGAGTGGACAAGGTAAGGGCCAGAGGGAAATGTACACGTTGGGAGATTTCGAGCCGGGAACTCCCCGATCGTTTCAACTTTCTGTCTGTTTAGTGTCGCTTCTTTCTGAGCATCGAAATGTAAAGATAGAGTGAAACTGGGGGTTAGAGCGGCCGGCTCAACAGGTGACTAACTTAGAGAGGAGTGGGAAGTTGGGAACTGTAGCAATGTGGGAATTTATAGAGAGAGAGAAAGACAAAGAATCCCCATTCAGTGGGAGATCGCTGACTGTTATTGTTCCGAAGAGAAAAGCGGATTGTGTCCCGGTTCCAACTGTGCGCTGAGAGAGTTTCACATTGTCCAGACAAACCTGGGAGCAAGCCTGTTCCAATTTCTGGCAATTTGTATCAATCCTGAGCTGAGAAATGAAATTGTATTTAGTTACAGGCTTTGGGAGATTTGCTGTAAATTTGTGTGACTTGATTAAACATTTGTCAAATATAGTCTTTCAAATTGAAGTGAGCTGGTTGATCATTCTGGGAAGTTTCAGTCCTGAATGAGAGCCAACAGGCTTTCACAATTGTTATGGTACAAGCCGACTCTGCCAATGTGAATTCTGACTCTGTGCCATTCTCCGGCCTTCTCCCAGTTGCCCTGTAAACGGTTTCCATTTAAATAATCATTTAATTACCTCTTGAGAGCCACAACTGAACCTGTCCCAGTCAGTCCTCAGACAGCTCCTCAGCACTCACTATGTGAAATATTTCCTTCTTACAATCACACTTTACTGTTTTGGTGATCACTTTGGATCTGTGCCCTCCTAATCTTCTTCTGTATGGGTGCAGGGACAGTTCCTCTTAGTCCTACTGGATCCACACTCTTGAGGAATTTGAAGCTCTTCTCTCCAAGGAGAATAGTCCCAGCTTCTCTGATTTATCTCCAAAGTTGACATTAACTCTCTGCGGGGAAAGAAAAATTACTGCAAGTGGCTTAGGAGAGTTTTCCAGTCCAGAATCAGCAACTATTCTGAAGTACATGTAGTGGAAGCCTGGGCTTCACTGAGTGGCAGTTCAGCATATGATCTAGCCATCTCCTGTGTCAGGAATTTAACAGACTGGCATCTAACTAATCACCCTAACCAAGAGTTTACTAAACTCATTCCTCAAACCCGTAGGACAAAATCCCAGTCCCACTGGGCATTCCTGTTTTTATTGACCAATTGGATCCGGAATCAATTGGAGCTCAAGAAGCTGTCAGTCGTTCTTGTTTAGGGTTAAATTCTGAGCAGTTCAAGGTGTCAGCTCTGCTCCAGAGGTAACAGAGCCTTTGCCTCAGTGGGTCCTGGTTTCAAAATCCTACCCTGGAGACTTGAGCCTTTTTTCAAAACAGATGTGGTTGGATTTTTTTGACCTGCCTCTAGTCACCTTGAGATGCTGACATCTAGAATAACATGCAGCAACCTGAGGGACTTGCTGTACCACCTCAGTGGAGATCAGCACCTCCATTGGTGTGTGGCTAGAGTCCTTTCATAGAATTCCTACAGTGCGCAAACAGGCCATTCGGCCCAAGTCCACACTGACTCTCTGAAGAGCATCTCACCCAGACTCACCCAATCCCTGTAACCCTGCAATTCCCTCGGGTAACCCACCCTGCCTGCACATCCCAGGACTCTTTGGGCAATTCAGCATGGCCAATCCCCCTAACCTACACAGCTTTGGACTGTGGGAGGAATCCAGAGTACAAACCCATGCAGAAATAGGGAGAATGTGCAAACTCCACACAGACAGATGTCTGAGGCTGGAATTGAACCTGAGTCCCTGGCGCTGGGAGGCAGAAATATTAACCACCAAGCCATCATGCCGCATCACTTACAGGTCTGGACTGGATAAGGGGTTCCTTCTCTCAGGAAAATTATTGCAGGGTAAAGTGAAAAAATATCACATTTTCAGTACCTTCAGCAGAAAGTAAAATGAACATAATGGATTCTGGTTCAGTTATTCCCATAATTTTAAATGGGGATCCCAATGAACAAAGTAGCTTTATTTTCAAATAGGGCTGCAACATTAAAACTAAACAAACAAGGCAAGTCTAACTTAGGTTTAGTAAATAATTAACATGCCTCCTTTCTCCACAAATGCTGACTGATAAGGTGAGTTTTTCCAGCACCATTTGATTCAACACAGTTAAGCTTAGTAAGCAAGTAGCAAGTGCTTAAAATACACTTGATAAATAACTAAAATGTAGCTGCTACCAATTTAAATCAAAGAAAAAGAACAGTACAGAACAGGAACAGGCCCTTCAACCTACCAAAACTTCAATGATACATGATGCCTTTCTAAACTAGAACCTTTGGGTTCTGCATTGTCCGTGTACCTCTATTTCCTGCCTATTCATATATCTGCCAAGATGCCTCTTAAATGTTGCTATTAAATCTGCCTCCACCACCTCCTCTGGCAGCACATTCCAGGCACATACCACCCTCTGTGTAAAAAACAACTTGCCTCTCACATCTCCTTTAAACTTACCCCCTTTTACCTTAAACCTCTAGTAATTGTCATTTCTACCCTGGGTAAAAGATTCTGACTATTCATTCTATCCATGCCTCTCATAATTGTGTAAACTTCTATTAAGTTGCCCCTCAGCCTTCAAGTGAAAAGAAAGCAAGTTTTTCCAATCTCTCTTTACAGCTAATATCCCCCAAACCAGGAGACATCCTAGTAAACTGTTTCCGTACTCTCTCCGAAGCTTCCACATACTTCTGGGAGTGAGACAACCAGAACTGTACACAATATTCCAAATGCGTCCTAACTAAAGTTCTGTACAGCTGCAACATGACTTGCCAATTTTTTTACTCTATGCACTGACCAATGAAGGCAAACATCCCATATGGCTTCTTGTCCACCTTATCCACTTTCAGGGGACTGTGGACCTGTGCACCTAGATCCCTCTATATGTTGATGTTTCTAAGGGTTTTGCCATTTATGGTGGGGTCATGGTGGCTCAGTGGTTAGCACTGATGCCTTATAGTGGCATGGACCTGGGTTTGATACCACCCTCGGGTGACTGTGTGTGTGGAGTCTGCACATTGTCCCTATTCCATGTGGGTTTTCTCTGGGTTTTCTGGTTTCCTCCCACAGTTCAAAGATGTGTAGGTTAAGGTGGATTGACCATGTTAAAATGCCCATAGTGTCCAGGGATGTATATGTTGGGTGGATTAGCCGTGGGGAAAAATGTGAGGTTGCAGGGATGGGATGGAGGGCTCTTTGGAGAATCAGTATGGTCTTGATGGTCTGCTTCCACACTGTAGGGATTCTATGATTTATTGTATACATCCCCCTGCATTAGATCTTGCATTTGTTCAGATTAAACTCCATCTGCCATTTTCCTGCCCAAGTCTCCAGCCTATCTATATCCTGCTGTATTTTCTGCCAATCCTCCTCACTATCTGTAGCTTCCCCAATCTTTATGTCACCCGCAAACTTACTAATAAGGCTACCTACATTCTATATATTTATATATAATAGATCGCTGCAAAACACCACTGGTCATAGATCTTCAGTCAGAAAAACACCCTTCCACCTCTACTGTCTGTCTTCTATCAGCCTGCTATGAAGGACCTTGTCAAAGGCCTTGCTAAAGTCCATATCGACAATATCTACCACCCTACCTCGTCAATTATCTTTGTCACTTCCTCAAAAACTCAATCTTTTGTGCCACACAACCTCTCCCGCACAAAGCCACACTGCCTATCACAAATATGTCCATATTTTTCCAAATGTGAGTAAATCCTATCCTTAAGAATCTTCTCCAATAATTTCCCTGCCACTGACATAAGACTCACCGGCCTCTAATTTCCTGGATTATCACTATTGGCCTTCTTAAACAAAGAAACAACATTGGCTATTCTCCAGTCCTCTGGGACCTCTCCTATGACTGAAGGGAATACAAAGATTTTGTACAAGGTCCCAGGAATTTCCTCGTATGCCTCCCTCAGCATTCTGGGATAGATCAGATGAACTATTTCAAATAAACTGGGACTTCAATTTTGATAAGTAATTATCAGGACTAAATTAACAATTAGAGATAGTAGGAACTGCAGATGCTGGAGAATCTGAGATAATAAGGTGTAGAGCTGGATGAACACAGCAGGCCAAGCAGCATCATAGGAGCAGGAAGGCTGATGTTTCGGGCCTAGACCCTTCATCAGAAATGGGGGAGGGGAAGGGTGTTCTGAAATAAGTAGGGAGAGAGGGGGAGGCGGATAGAAGATGGATGGAGTAGAAGATAGGTGGAGAGGAGTCCTTCACCTCTGTCGCATCTGCTCCCAGGATGAGGTATTCCACTCCCGTACATCTCAGATGTCCTCGTTTTTCAAGGACTGCAACTTCCCCCCATCAGTGGTCGAGAACGTCCTCCACCGTGTCTCCCGCATTTCCTGCAACTCATCCCTCACACCCCTTCCCCACAATAACAACCAAAACAGAATCCCCCTTGTCCTCACGTACCACCCTACCAACCTCCAGATCCGACGCATCATCCTCCGACACTTCCGCCATCTGCAATCCGACCCCACCACCAAAGACATTTTTCCCTCCCCACCCTTGTCTGCTTTCTGGAGGGACCGCTCTCTCCGTGACTGCCTTGTCCGCTCCACACTCCCCTCCAGCCCCACCACACCCGGCACTTTTCCCTGCAAGTGCAGGAAGTGCTACACCTGCCCCCGCACCTCCTCCCTCACCCCCATCCCAGGCCCCAAGAAGACTTTCCACATCAAGCAGATGTTCACCTGCACATCTGCTAATGTGGTATACTACATCCGTTGTTCCCGTTGTGGCCTCCTCTACATCGGGGAAACCAAGCGGAGGCTCGGGGACCGCTTTGCAGAACACCTATGCTTGGTTCGCAATAAACAACTGCACCTCCCAGTTGCGAACCATTTCAACTCCCCCTCCCATTCCTCAGACGACATGTCCATCCTGGGCCTCCTGCAGTGCCACAACGATGCCACCCGAAGGTTGCAGGAACAGCAACTCATATTCCGCTTGGGAACCCTGCAGCCCGTTGGCCTCAATGTGGATTTCACAAGCTTCAAAATCTCCCCTCCCGCTACTGCATCCCAAAACCAGCCCAGCTCGTCCCCGCCTCCCTAACCTGTTCTTCCTCCCACCTATCCCCTCCTCCCACCTCAAGCCGCACCCCCATCTCCTACCTACTAACCTCATCCTGCCCCCTTGACCTGTCCGTCCTCCCTGGACTGACCTATCCCCTCCCTAACTCCCCACCTACACTCACCTTTACTGGTTCCATCCCTGCCTCTTTGACCTGTCTGTTTCCTCTCCACCTATCTTCTCCTCTATCCATCTTCTATCCGCCTCCCCCTCTCTCCCTATTTATTTCAGAACCCCCTTCCCCTCCCCCATTTCTGATGAAGGGTCTAGGCCCGAAACGTCAGCCTTTCTGCTCCTATGATGCTGCTTGGCCTGCTGTGTTCATCCAGCTCTACACCTTGTTAACTTAAATTAACAATTAATTTATTTTGGAGGGCACATAACAATACTAAACTCATACTAAGTGAGGTAGATAACCACCCAAGTTAATACTTTAAGTCAAATTTGGTAAATTTCGTCAAGAACAAATTCATTTTTACACTATCACTAGTTTGTATGGCAACTGTGAAAAAGCAGGTCAATGGAATTAATTGGTATTTTTGTTTTTAAAGTGCTAGCACAGACCCAAATGGGTTGAATGGCCTCCCTTTGTGCTACATGTTTCTGTAACTCTCGTCGAAAGCCAACTTACTCCTACCCAGTTTGAAAGTTCCCGAATGTTAATTTGTTAACTTTAAAGACATTACATGTTTGACCAAAGTTGATCAGGTCTGACCTCTCACCTCTTGGATATTGAGGTCACCTAGTACCCCCAGAATAAGCACAAAGCTGTCTGCTGGTGGACTTTGAGGCCATTCACTCCCATCATCTGGCATTACTTGAAATTGAAAATGTGGATCAAGTCATAAGAGTGTGAGTGGCTGAGGAGCTTTAGTCCAAAACTGATTGTTGAGTGTTTTGGTATTTGAATGCAAGTAATCAGTCTCATCCATTGCTTAATACATGGCTGTTAACTTGATCTACAGGTAAATGTTCCTCCTTTATTGTGTTTGATTCCAGGTCTTGTCAACAACTGTGAAGTATTTGCCTAGGACGTACCATCACGATGTATGAGAGCCGACCCCTGGGGAGCCCCCCTGCCTATAGCCCGAGTAATTTCACCCAACCTTTCCCACACAGAGCCTCCATGGGGAGTTATGAATATGATATGCAATCCCCTCCACCAGGCTCATATTACATTGAGGAGAAGCCACAACACTTCTACAAATGGAGCTCCCCACCAGGAATCATCCGCATTTTAGAGGGCATTGTCATAATCCTGTGTCTTGCCATCTTTGCCTGTGTGGCATCAACGTTGCAATGGCAGTATGGCTATGGTTATGGCATGGGTGGAATGATGGGTGGCATGGGAGGTGGGTACTACCCAGGGATGGGAGGAGGATATTACCCTGGCATGGGGGGTAGTGGCTATTACCCGGGAATGGGAGGGTATGGCTATGGCGGCCACACTGACCCCAGGGCTGCCACTGGCTTCATGATTGCGATGGCAGCCATTTCATTTATCGCTGTCTTGGCCTTCTTCATTGCCAGTGTCAGCAAGTCCCAAAACTCCAGAACCCGCAAGTTTTACTTGTTGTTACTCATATTCAGCGCTATCCTTGGAGGCTTGGAGCTGATTGCCAGCATTGTATACATCATGGGAGTCAATCCAACAGCCGGAAGTGGAGGATCGTTGTACTATACCCAGATGAGAATGTTATGCGCCCAGTTTTATTCAACTGGAGCTGGTATGATGTTGACTAACGAGTATCTATACCACTATTGTATTGTGGATCCTCAGGAGGTGAGTCACATTTTATTACAGCTGTGATGTCTCAGGCTTTGGTAAAATAGAAACTCATTCTACCTTGCTTGTGCAATTTATTGCTAAAAAGTGACAATTTTTATGATTTCACAATGGCTCAATATTTTTTTTTAAATCCCACATTGTAAACTCCAGGAAATGTTTTGGTTTCACCCCGCTCTACATTAACCAACTCAATCATAGGAATGGAATATAAGCAGTGGCCATTCTCAATTCTCTCCCACTAATCATTTCCCTCCTGGCTGCCCTATTTCCCTACCGATGCTCCATATTGTTTATAGTCTTACCTAACAACAGTCCGTTGGACAATCATCTCCGCTTTTTGTGGGACATTGTCTGAGGTTCCCACTCCCATTTATGTCAGGAAGTGTTTCCAGAGATCACCCTGACTCCCCTTGTTCCAGACATGCCTCCACTCCCCCCCACCCACCAGAAACATAAATACTTAGGTAATAGTTTCTCTTCATTTGCCCTATTAAATCCTTTCGTGGTCATAAATAAAGCTGTAGTCGCTACAGTCCCTGACAATGATAAGATTGCTCTCTGCTTGGAGAGAGAGAGAGAAAGATGACTGGTGGTGGTTTAATCTAAAGTCACCATACCTCAGGCAAGGGGAGAGGTTGAGAAGAAGTGTCCTTCAGGGTAAATGCAGCCAATGTGACAATTGAACCCACGCTGTTGGTGTTATCCTCCAGTGCAAACCAGGCAATGAGCTAAACAACTCCCATGATCATAAACATCCCAATTACATCACTCTTTAACCATGAATACCGCAATCTACACAATTAATCTTCATAACCTAACCCTTTTAACTCAGCTGTCATTCTGTTCAACCTGCCCTGCACCAAGGCCATTATCTTCTTCCTGAATTGTGATATCTGAAATTGAGTGCAGTAACCTCTCCAGATGGGGTCTGAACAAGAATCTTTACAGCAGGAATATAATCTCCGTCCCTTTGTATTCCAGACCCATTGAGATAAAGGCCCCAATTTTCTAGTCTTTTATATCTTTTTCTTCACCTGTGCACTGGCTGTAATTTGTTTGATGTTAGGGAGAGAGTTCCAGAATTTTGATTCATTGACATAAAAGAGCTGCGATATATTTCCAAGTCAGGATGGTGTGTGGCTTGGAGGGGAACTTGTGGGTGGTGGTTTTCCCACGTATCTGTTGCCCTTGTCTTTTGAGGTGATGGAAGTTTCAGGTTTGGAAGGTACTGTCTAAGAAGTCCTGGTGAATTGCTGTAGTGCTTCTTGTAGATGGTCCACACTGCTGCCACTGTACACTGATCATGGCTAAATGACTAAGTATGAGGTTATGAAGGTGCAGAGTATTTTCGAATGGTGAGAGATTGGAAAGTGTTGATGTCCAAAGGTGACCTTGTTCAGAGTCACTGAAGGTTAGCATGCAATTGTGCAGCAGGTAATTCTGAAGGCAAATGACACATTAGCCTTTATTGCAAGAGGGTTTGAGTACAGAAGTAAAGCTGTTTTGTATCAATGATCTATATTCTTCAGTGAGACAGCACCTGAAGTACTGTGTGTGGTTTTGGCCTCTTTGCCTAAGGAAGGATTTACTTGCTGCTGAGAGAGTGCAGCAGAGGCTCACCTGCCTGATTTTTGGGAGAGTGGAACTCTCCAATCAGGAGAGATTGAGGAAGCTGAGCCTCAGTTCTCTGGAGTTCAGAAGAATGAGGGACAATCTCATAGAAACAGACTGATTTCTTAAAGGGATCGACAGGGTGGGTACAGAAAGGATATTTTCTCTACTGAGGGTCTAGAATCAATGGCACACACTCAGAATGAAAGGCAAACCATTTAGAACTGAGGGCAAGAGGAACTTCATCAATCAAATGGTAAATTGTAGCAATTCTCAATCATTGAGGGTGGTAGAAACTCAGTCATTAACTCAGTTCAATGCGGAGATCGATAGATTTCTAGTTACTCATATCAACGGACGTGGGGACAGCACGGGAATGTGGTGTAGATATAGATCATCAGCCATGACCCAGAATAGCAGAGCATGCTTGTGGGGCTGAATGGCCTGCTCTTGCCCCAAGATTCCTGAATTTGAATAACCAGAGCGGCTAGAGAAATTTGAATTCAAATAATTAATATTGAATATGGAATAAAAAATTAGTTTATTGAGCTCTTTGGTAGTTGTAGGCAGTTCAACACCAGCTTTTGGTGATGTGCAACAAATGCTGGCTTAACCAGGGACACCCACTTCCCAAGAACAAGTAATAACTAAAAAAGGGAGGTGTGTCAAGTGACGAACAGCAAGAGGAGAGGCTTGGGGAGATTAGACGAATGGAATAGCTCTCAGGGCTGGATGGGCAGTGGTAGTGTCCCTATCTGTGGACCAGGAGGCCCAGATTCAAATCCCACCTGCTCCAGAGATGTGTCATAACATCCCTGAACATTAATTAAGATATATACAGGCTCTAGGAATATGTCCACTTGATAATTCTCCTGTCAAGCCCTGGTATATGTTTGTGTGCACACACGCATTCTGTGTATCTGTGCATGCGTCTATGTATCTGTGAGTGTGTTTATCTCTAAATCAGCTGTGATTGTGCTGGAGTCGCAGGGTGAGCCAAACCTGGGAGAAATCATCTTCTAATCATTAGCATCACCAGTGGTCACGTCTGATGGTGTTTTTGTAATCACAGAGTTAGGAGTCAGATTGAGACAAGCTTACAGGGGAGGCAATGGCCTAGCGGTATTATCGCTGGACTGTTAATCCAGAGACCTTGGTAATGTTCTAGGAACCTGGGTTCCAATCCTGCCATGTCAGATGGTGGAATTAAAATTCAGTAATAAAAAAATCTGGAATTAAGAGTCAAATGATGACCATGAGTCCATTGTCAATTGTCAGAAAAACTCATCTGGTTCACTAAGATCTTTTAGGGAAGGAAACTGCCATCTTTACCTGGTCTGGCCTACATGTGACTCCAGACCCACAGCAATGGTGTTGACCCTTAACTGCCCTCTGGGCAATTAGGGATGGGCAATAAATGTTGGCCTAGCCAGAGATGCCCACATCCCATGAATGAATGAAAAAAAGATGCTACTGGTGTTCACCCGAAAAGCCTTCGTCGATGGAAAACAGTTGACAGAGTTTGAGAAAGAGTTGATCACGCTTCACAAATCTGTTGGAATTCATTCTGCACATGAGCTCACTGAAATGAATTCAGGGGTCCTATGGAATTTACTGATTCAGATTCAAAAAGGTTAATTGCTTCTGAAAGAAAGAACGCCAAAAATTGCAAAAAAGACTCAAGATCTTGCATTATTCAAAAAGAAATCAAGGGATTTGGGGATTGACTGGGAACGTGCATTTCATGTAGATCAGCCATGATCCCAATGAATGATGGAGCAGGCTCAAAGATGCAAAAATAATGTGTTAATGTTAATGGAAAAAGAAAATATTAGAAAATATAGTCTCCTGGGGTCATGGTGCCAACCTGCTCTCTCTCAAATGCTGAACAAAAACAGAAGTCGCTGGAAAAGCTCAGCAGGTGTGGCAGCATCTGTGAAGAAAAAGATTCGAGTTAACAATGCTAATTGATCATGTTTCCAGCAGTTACTGTTTCCAGTTGTGTTTCCACCTGTTGGATGGGTTCAATTTGGTAGCATCTTTCCTTCAATCAGAAAGTTACAAGTCCTGTTTGATGGATAAAAGCTTTATTAGTGGAGAACGCAGTTCATAAACTGAATGGGAACAGAGCTAAAGCATTTATTCCCATGTAAATGAACACTTTTTGAAACAAAGTAGCAGGCATTTCAAAGAGGATTGTAGGGATGAAAATAGACTCTGCAATTAACTGTCTCAGTGGTAGTGCTCACTCTTTCTATCTTGGCTCTGAGTTAGAAGATCACGGATTCTCTAGCCCCATTCCAGAGACTTGAGGCTGTCACTCCCAGTATTATACTTTTCAATTGCTGCATTGTCTGAGGTGGCAAAGTTTGGTTGATTTTTTTTTAAATCTTTCATTTAATACTCCTAAAGAGCAGGTTTTCAGGAAGGCTAACTGAATGTTCGCCCTTATTTCAAGGTGGTTGGAGTATATGAGTAGGCAAGTCTTGCTGTTACTGTATAAGGTGCTGGTGAGACCACATCTGGAGTACTGTGGGCAGTTTTGGTTCCCTTATTTAAGGAGAGATATTATTTCATTGGAGGCAGTTCAGAGAAAGTTCACTGGGATGGTCCCAGGTATGGGAAGGATTGTCTTATGAGCAACGGCTAAATAGGTTGGGACTCTACTCACTGGAGTTTAGAAAAATGAAAATAAATCTCACTGAAACATATCAGATTCTTAAGGGACTTGACAAAGTAAATGCTGAGAGGACGTTTCTGCTCATGGAAGAGTCTAGGAGCAGAGGGCATAGTCTGAAAATAAAGGGGCACTAACTTTACACTGAGATGAGGAGGAATTTCTTCTCTGAGGTTTGAGAGTCTTTGGAAATCCTTGCCAAAGAGATCTATGGGTACAGAGTCTTTGTGTATACTCAAGCCTGCGATAGATGGATGGATGGATGGATTCTTGATCAGTCAAGAATCAAGAGGTAACAGAGAAAAGGCAAGAAACTGGTTGTGAGGAATATTGCATCAACCGTGGGGTTGAATGGCCCACTCCTGTACCTATTTCTCATGGTCTTATATTGGAGATGGAGAGAAATGCTGAATGGACAGTTCTTGACTCCCCCTTTCCAATTGGCTGAGGGAAGGTGGAGGATCACAAGACTAGATTGTATCATGTGACCAATGGCAGGGACAGGGCATTTGAAGGTATGAGATATGTGATGAACCATCCAGAAAATGAACAGCTTGAGTTGGTTACCCCACAACAGGCTAGGGGGAGGTGATGGCCTAGTGGTATTATCATTGGACTGTTAATCCAGATAACATTCTGAGAACATGGGTTCAAATCCTGCCATGGTAGAATTTGGATTTAATAAATATCTGGAATTAAGAATCTAATGATGACCATGAACCCAATGTCAATTGTTGGAGGAAAAACCCATCTGGTTCACTAATGTCCTTTAGGGAAGGAAACTGCCATCCTTACCTGGTCTGGCCTACATGTAACTCCAGACCCACAGCAATGTGGTTGAGTCTTAACTGTCCTCTGGACAATTAGGGATGGGCAATAAATGCTGCCTGGTCAGCAATGCCCTCATCCTGTGAATGAATAAAAATAAAATCCCCATTTCTGTAACCTCCACCCACACAGCCCTTTGAAGCCTGCCAACATCTTCCTCAATTTTAATCACATTTCATGTTGGTGACTTTCCTTTGCCTCAGTTCTAAACTTTGGAATTCCATTTGTAAGCCTCTTTCTCCTCCTTAAACCCTTCCACTTTGACCTTCCCAGAGTAAATTAAAACCTGTGTTTCTGTAGTGTTTTTCACTACCGCCACCAGATGTATGCTTTTAAAGTGAAGTCACTGCTGTACTGTAGGAAATATGGCATACAATTTATACACAGCAAGTGTCAATGCTGTAATGGCCAGAAAATCTGTTTATCTGTTTGTGTGTGTGTGTGTTACATACTAATTGAGGGATAACTATTGGCCAAGATAACTTCCCTGTTCTTTGAAGCAGCACCATGAGATCTTTTTCTCCAGCCAAGCAGCTCGACAACTGAGTTGTGGCTACTCAAAGTGTTAACTCTGTTTCTGTCTCTCCACGGTTCCCGACAGATCTGCCAAGTTTCTCCAGCACTCTGTTTTTATTTCTGGTATTTGGGGCCCTGGTTCAGCATCGCATCTGAAAATCATACCTGCAACATTGCAGCACTTCTGTGATCAAGCCCAGGAGTGGCACTTGAATCTGGAAGTTAATAGAATCCCTACAGTGTGGAAGCAGGCCATTTGGCCCATCAAGTCCACACCAATCAACTAATATCTCCTTGTCACATTTGAATTAGGAGCCCCTTGTGAAGAATCTTAGAATGCTTTGAAGGCACTATATAAATGCAGGGTATTGTTGTTGTCTCCTATTCATTATAAGTAATGAAAAAGAATGGTGGGGAAGATCTGAGAGGCAGAGCATAGAAAACAAACAGAGGAGTGGGAAAAGATAAAAGCCTGGGAAACAGAGAGGTGCAGAAAGACAGGACCAGGGTGAGATAAAGACGGACACAAGCAAAGCAAGGAGAGACCGAGAGGAAGTAACAAGTTGAAAGAGTGGAACACAACTGGACACGGGCACTTGAAGAGACAGAGAAACAGACTGAGGAAGAAGATAAAGAGAGAAAGTCAGAGAAACCCAAAGGCACTGACTGAGAGGAGGATTAGACTGAGAATGAGACAATGACAGACCGCTGCAAGCAGAGCGGAGAGAGAGATGGAGACAGAGAAAATTGGAGAGATTACAGGACATGGAGAGACATTGACAGAAAGGTAGACACGGACGTAGGTGTTGGAGTGACAGAGACCCCAGTACAATTTCCAAGTAAGAAAATTGCATGGATATAATTAAACGGAGAGACATTAAAGAAAGTCCAAAGCAGCAGAGATAGTTGGAACTGCAGATGCTGGAGAATCTGAGATAACAAGGTGTAGAGCTGGATGAACATAGCAGGCCAAGCAGCATCAGAGGAGCAGGAAAGCTGACGTTTCGGGCCTAGACCCTTCTTCAGAAATTAGTAGCAGTTTTGTTGTTAACCGTGTGTGTGCAGGAGCCTGTGCTAATCCGCCCCTGCTCTCTGCATCCTGCTGATACAGGCTGTGGCAATTGTCTGCGGATTCCTGGCAGCGCTGACGTTTTGTATCATTGCTTTCTTCGCTCAAAGAGTGCGGCAGAAAATCTGGAAATACGGGAAGCCGAATATCCTGTGGGAAAAGAACTTCGCTGATGAAGAGGTGGGACCCAACGTGGAGGAATGGGTAAGCGAGCGTGTGGAGAGTTCCTGGTTCAATCCGCGGTCACTCCTGAGTTCGTGAGTTTCAGTGGAACCGTTTCAATTGACTCAGGGCAAACCCCATTTAAAAAAAAAACTTCACACGAGGAAAAAAGACCGTTTGAACTGGGTGTGCTCTGGTCAGCTCAGTCACACCAGCACGAGGAATGAATAAATATTCAGGTTACATAATAAAACAAAACAAAGCGCTGTTTGGCTGTGGAGAGAAAGCAGAGTTAACGTTTTGTTCCCTACTTGAACTCAAAATGGATCCAAAACATTAACTCTGCTTTCTCTTCGCAGATGCTGCCAGACCTGCTGGGTCTTTCCAGCAATTTCTGTTTTTGTCTCACACATTGAGGGTAGTTGTTAGAGACACAGATCAGCTGATCTAAAGGACGTGATGAATGTGGTTACTGGGAGCAAAGAGCGGAAAAGTGATGGTTTTTAAGGGGAGGATCTAATATTCCACAATTGGTGAATTTCTCCAGCCCCTCTTTAACCCTTTGTGAGAATCACAAGTTACTTAGAATCATTGAATTTTACAGTATAGATGGAAGCCATTCGACCCATTGTATATGTACCAGCTTCTGAAAGAGCTACCCAGCTAGTCCCATCCTTCAGTCCTATCTCCGTAACCCTTTAACTTCAGCCCTTTCTAGATTCTTTGAAACCTCCTGTAGAATTCGCCTCCACCACTCTCCCAGGCAGTGCATTCCAAATCCTAACAACTCTCTGAGTAAAGAAGTTTCTCCTCATCTCACTCCTGGCTTTCTTGCTGACAATCTTGAAATTGCAATCCCAAGTTACTGACATACAAACAGATTATCCCTCTTTATCCTGTCAAAATTGTTCATAATTTTGAACACCTCAAGAGAGTCTCCCCTTAATCTTCTCTGTCCCAAGGAGAATAAATCCAAGTTCTCTAGCCTTGTATCTAAAATCCTTCATGCCTAGTATTCAGGTAAGTGTCCTTTAAACTCTCTCCAGGGTTTTAACATCCTTCCTTAAATAAGGTGCTCAGAGCTGAACACAATACAATGTGGTCAGACCAATGATCCATAGAGGTGTAGCATCACTCTCTTGCTTTTACACTTTATGCCTCTATTTATAAACCCAAGGATCCTATAAACCTTCTTAACAGTTTCAACTTGCCTGGCCCCTTCAGAGAGTTTTGCACCTGAACCCTGAGGTCCCTCTGCTCCTGTACTCCCCTCAAAGTTGTACCATTGAGCCAGTATTGTCTCTTCGTGTTTGTTGTACCAGAATGCATTACCTCACATTTCTCTGCATTGAAATTCATCTGCCAGGTGTCTACCCATTTGGCCAACTTGTCGATGTCCATCTGAAGTCGCTAAGCATCATCCTTACAATTCACTCTCTTCTCCCTAGCTTAGTATCATCTGCAAATTTAGCGATATTTGCCCTCAACACTATCTCCAAACATCATATAAATCAGTAAGAGCGGGGTCCCAACACCAATCCCAGTGAAACACCAATTTCAACTCTCCTCCAGTGTGAAAAATGCTCATCCATATCTCAAACTCTGTCTCAAAGGGTAGATGGCAGAGTAGAGTTTATGTTAGGACAGAGTGGACATGGGCTTTGGAGGGAAAGGGATTGACAAGTCAATCAGACCTTTTTAAGTCCATGCTTTCTGAAGTTTTGTGAGGATTTATTGCAAATATTTCTCACCATGAATCGGTTGAGACCACCTTGCCCATTATTTAGATCCCCTACATTGGATAGGAGGAGGCAAACCTCCATCTTGAACTTGAGACAAATTCTGAGTACTGGCCTCTCCTTCTCAATGGACTGATCCAGTACCCAAGCAGGGACTCTTATTGGTTTTCATGCCTTCCTCGTTTCATGAGGACCCAGCAGAATTATTTCTTTGTTAGTTGAGAACGGGCAGGAAGGTCAATAAACAAGATGACAGGAATCACTACCTGACTGTACACACATGGTGAATTTAAATCATACACAAGGACATGTTATCATTTAGATAAAGTTTTACTCGCAGATTTCCATTGCCAAAATAGTTTTGCACTTTTGAAGATTAAACTGAAGGTGGCCCATCCCTGAAACTGCACCTTTGGTTATACTGTCTTTATAAAACAATGACTCATCCATGGTAGACTCAATTTGCAACGTTTCATTATCTGTCATTGCTAAAGTTGTTGTGAGAGATTATTCCACAGTCCTTTAGAATAGAATAGAATAGAATTCTTACAGTGTGGAACAGGCCCTTTGGCCCAACAAGTCCACACCAACCCTTGGAGCATCCCACCCAGACCCATCCTCCTATAACCCACCTAAGGTACACATCCCTGAACACTACGGGCAATTTAGCATGGCCAATCCACCTAACCTGCACATCTTTGGTCTGCTGCTGAACCCTCAATATTTCACTGAGATGTCCCAGTGTGAGCATAGCACAAGGGGTATTTAACCAGCACCACAACTACAATTTACATCTCTGTAGCACGTTATGTTTAACATAGTAAAAACATAATAAGGCATGAACAAAATGGCTGATGCGATAATCCTCAATTCCACTCTCCTGCCTTTTATCTATAACCATTGATTCCCCTTACTGATTATAAACCTGTCCATCTCAGCCTTGAATATACTCAACATTTCAGCCTGGACAACCCTCTGCAGCAAAGAATTTCACAGATTTACTACTCTCTGAGAGAAGGAATTCCTCCTGCTCTCTGTCCTTATTCTGAGATGATGCCCTCTGGTCCTAGACTCTTCCCCCCCAAGGGGAAACAACTTTTCCACATCTACCCTGTCAAGCCCTGTAAGAACCTTCTATCTTGCAATATGTTATTCTTCTAAACTCCAGTGAGTACAGGCCCAATCCACACAACCTCTCCTTCCATACCCGGGATCAGCCGAGTGAACTTGTTGTGGACTGCCTCTAATGCCATCAGTGTTTTACAACGGTTTAAATCACAGAAAGGTTCAGACATTAGTAAAAACAGAAAATACTGGAATTACTCAGCAAGCGAGTCAGTCTCTGGGGAGACAGAAAATGAGTTAACCTTTCAGATCAATGATGACCCTTCAGTGGAAGCATTGAGATACCAAACCACATAAATAGGCATTAGGTCAGGTGACCAAAATCTTGGTCAAGAAGACAGGTTTTAAGGAAGACAGTGAGCCTGAGAGGTTTTGGGTGGGGAATTTGAGACCCTCACTGCTGTCCATGTGTGCACTATCTTCAGGAGCTAGCAGCAGGTGGGAGTCCTGGACCACAGAGATCAGTTGGAACAGTCGTAGGTGTCTGTTATACCGTAAAATCAAACTAAGGTCTCCCCAATCTCTCAGAAAACACCCAGGAAGTGACACTACCACCAGGAATAATTTCCCAAATCTACCCCTATATCCCCCTCCCTGTTCGCAGGGTACAGCCTGCAGCTGTCAGAGTTAAACAGCACAATGCAGACGGGAATATTACCCAAGAACAGTGTCAGACAAGAAAAAGGCACGACTTTCTTCACTCCACCGCCCCCCAACCCCACCTCCACAACTGATACCAATTTCTTCCCGTTTGCTGTTTGGTGCCAGAGATGTTGAACGAGATCTGTGTTGATGGAGCTTGTTCTTAGCACCCAGCCTTATCAGATTGTGATAGAATGCCTGATGATTGCCTCATTGCAAAGCAAAATTCTCTTTGCTTTTTGATAAGTTTGGTTTCAGTTGAATTACTCATTAACTCAATTGTTCTTTGGTTTCACGCACTGGGACTGATTACATCAATGCCTGCACAGTGTCGAGGCATAGACACTGAGCTGAAAGGCAACTGAGCTGTACGGTTTAACACCTGCTGTTCAAAAAGGTTCTGTCCAGGCCAACTTTATCCAGTTGGAAGTTGTTTTCCTTACCAATGGTTAAGGCACATGGACATCCACGTGGTTATATAGTAGCAGACAAATTAAGTCAGGTAGTAATGATTTGGGGGAATGTTTTGAGAGCATTGGATATGGTCAAGATTCTGGAAAGTGAGGAATGCTAAAGTTGAGAGAATTGTTGATTGGTCACAACAGAGGTGCCTGGTCTGTGTAACTAGCTTTCTGCCACGATCCAGTACCACTCCCCATCCAGTCATGTTGTAAAACTCAACAACAACTTGCATTCATAAGGCACCTGTAACTTTGTAAAATGCTCCAAAGCGCTTTACAGAATTTGACATTGACCCCCATGAGGTGATATTAGAGCAGGTGACCAACAGCTTGGTCAAAGTGGTTGGTTTTTAAGGAGTGTGATAAACTAGGACAGAGACAGAGAGGTTCAGGGAGGGAAATCCAGAGCCTAGAGCCCAGGCAGCTGAAGGCACGGTAGCCAATGTTGGAGAGATCAAAATCAGAGTTACTCAAAAATCCAGAGATGGAGGATGGCAGGCATCTGAGTTCTGGGCGAGGGGAAATTACAAAGAAAAATAGTGAGTAGGGCCATGGATGGATTTGAACTTGAAAAGATGACAATTTTAAAATCAAACATTATTAGAGCAACAGCCAGTATAGGAGAAAGATGGTAGGGAGAGTGACTTGATGTGAGTTAGGACACAGACAACAGAGTTTGGGTGGTCTGAGGTTTTAAAAAGCTGGAGAACAAGAAGCTGACCAGGAGAATATTGCACTAGTGGAGTTTAGTGAGTAGAAAAGCCTGGATCAACATCCCAGTGTTTACCATTGACCAATTACAGCCATGTGAATACAATGGCTACAAGAGCACATCAGAGGCTAGGAATATTGCAATGGAAGACCAGAGGAGAAGTTAGGAACAGTGAACTGCTTGTTGAAGTTTTATTATATTAAAGGCATTGTAACTATTGTTGTAGCATCCAATGATCAATTGAGTGAGGAACCAGAAAAGGATTGGGTCATGTCCATCGGTTCCTGGGGCAGGAGAGGACAAGCAGCAGGTCGGAGAGTTTCTTGCTCCATTCAGTGCCTGAAGCTGTGAGCTCAGTGGCTC